ACTGGCCCTTCTTGCTTCAATTCTTCCAGCATTGCAAAGTTGTTATTGACAAAATCTCACACTAGCCTACCACAATATAAACGAATCCTCAATGTTTGGATCCAGCTTGATTCCTTGTACAATATTCAACAAAATTGGCAATTCAATAATACTTCCTTCAATAGGCAACACCATCCCCTCAAACCAACATTCCAAGTCCATTCATCCTCTATCTATTGACCCATCTTTACTACTTTTGCATTTGGATCCTGAGCATTAGTGAACATAATCGATAAATCGAGCTTCAACGGTTTGTGACCCAACCACTTATGATGCCTAGAACAAATAGAACCCCCCCTTCCCAAATTTACACACTATCGACTTTGCAAACCAAATTTGATCATCCATCTTCTCCAATCATATCCCTCTCACATCCCTCCACCATAATGAATCATATTTACCGTTAGCTAGAAAAGAGGAACCAATAAGCTTCCTTTGCCCATCGCCATTACCTGAAAGCAAGAAGATCATTCGAAATTGCATTTTTCTCGTTCACGATCCTCCAACTCCATTTGTTAAAAAGAGATAGATTAAAGTGCTCATAAATTTTCACTCCAAGTTCACCTAATTTCTTTATTTGCACACCATATCCCAACTCACCCAACAAAATTTATTCTTCTCGACCATTCACCCCGCAAAAACAAACGTTGCAATTGAACAATTTCATGAACGATCGCTCTTGGAGATTTATAAAAGGAGAAAATAAATAATGAAATATTAGTCAATATAACATTTATCAACACCACTCTTGCACCAATGGACATATACTTCCCTTACCACGCTGATAACTTTTTCCTAAACTTCACAAAAACTGGAGCCCAGTGTCCTTTCTCTTAGGGTTAGCCCCCACTGGAACTCCCATAAATTTAAAAAAGTGTTGAACCGATGCTATAAGATAAAAGCTTGAAGCTGCTTCCAAGAACTCCTTCTTTAAGTTGAAGCCAAAAAATTGACTCTTAAAAGGTTCACACAAAACCAAATGCTAATTCAGAATCTCTCAACAAAGCTTTGATTGTCTAAAGATTATTCTAAGACCCGTCACAAATGAGAATTGTATCGTCGACGAATTAAAGAAGTTCGAAATGGATGTCTTCATTAAAATTGAAACCTTAAAATTTTCCCAACACTATAACATTGCCCATCAATTCAACAAAATCTCCTGCAACAAATAAAAATAAAAGTGGAGATAAAGAATTCCCTTATTGCAATCTCCTCCTAACTTAAAAATCTAAGATAAGACTACTATTCACTAGAAGAAACATAAAACTAATGATATTAATGTCTTCATCCAATTAAACCACGAACTCCAAAACTCCATTATGCTTATTATGTCGCTTAGGTAATTCCAAAATACGCAATCATATTGTTATAAAATAGAGAAAAGTTAAATACAATTTCTTAAGTGTGAATTTTACTATTTTCTAATGAAAATATGATAAATATATTTAAATATCATTTAGAGAGTGAAAATTCGAGGCTTGTGATACTCCAATTCTAAAGTTACGAAACTCTTTGGAGTTGCTTCCCTGTTCCTTTTCAGTACCTTTCATTTCCATCTTCTAAAATGCACACCCTGCTTTCACAACCTCTCACACGCGCACCACAACCAAACCCACCAATTCCCACTTTTTTCACAAACCAAACAAAACCACCTAATTCAAACCTTGAATCCTCAAACATAAACCCCAAACTCCCTCAATTAACCCTTCTCAACAACCACCCACTTACTTCCACCACCTACTCCACCATTCTCCAATCTTCCAACTCTCTCACTTTAGGAAAACAACTTCACTCTCACTCCATCAAAACCGGCTTCCACAACCACCATTTTATTCAAACCAAGTTACTTCAAATGTACTCCATCAACTCATCTTTTGAAGATGCCTGCCACATGTTTGACACAATGCCGCTTAAAAACTTGCATTCTTGGACTGCACTTATACGCCTTCATCTTAACATGGGGTTGTTTCAAGAAGCTTATATGCTTTTTGAAGAATTGTTACGCGATGGGGTGAGAGAAAAATTGGATTTTTTTGTGTTCCCTGTTGTGTTGAACATTTGTGTTGGTCTTGGTGATTTGGAACTAGGTAGACAACTTCATGGGATGGTTTTGAAACATGGGTTTGTTACTAATGTTTATGTGGGTAATGCTTTGGTTAATATGTATGGTAAATGTGGGGGCTTAGGTGAGGCTAAGAAAGTTCTAGAAGGAATGCCGCGAAAGGATTGTGTCTCTTGGAATTCTATTATAACCGCGTGTGCTACCAATGGGATGGTGCATGAGGCGTTGGATTTGCTGGAAAACATGTTATTGAGTGAGTTGGAACCCAATGTTGTTACTTGGAGTGCGGTTATTGGAGGATTTTCAAGTAATGGTTATGATGTTGAGTCAGTTGAATTGTTTTCTAGAATGGTGGGAGTAGCAGTGGCGCCAAATGCTCAAACGCTGGCGAGCGTTCTGCCTGCTTGTGCTAGGATGAAATGGCTTTGCTTTGGGAAACAATTACATGGCTACATTGTTAGACATGATTTGTTGTCTAATAGTTTTGTTGTGAATGCATTAGTGGACATGTATAGAAGATGTGGTGATATGAAAAGTGCCTTTGAAGTATTTTCCAAGTTTGTGAGGAAAAGTGCAGCGTCTTACAATACAATGATGGTTGGCTATTCAGAAAATGGTAATATCGTTAAGGCAAAGGAATTATTTGATCGGATGGAGCGAGATGGTGTCGAGAGGGATAAAATATCATGGAATTGTATGATAGCAGGGTATGTGGATAATTTCATGCTTGATGAAGCTCTGATATTGTTTCGAGATTTATTGATGAAAGGAATTGAACCCGATTCCTTCACTCTTGGAAGTATCCTTACTGGATGTGCTGATTCAACTTCTGTTCGACAAGGGAAAGAGATACATGCCATTGCAATTGCCAAAGGTCTGCAGTCCAACAGCTTTGTCGGCGGAGCTTTGGTTGAAATGTACTGTAAATGCAATGATGTTATAGCTGCTCAAATGACATTTGATGAAATAAGTGAGAAAGATACATCAACATGGAATGCGTTAATATCTGGTTATGCCCGGTCTAATCAAATTGAAAAGATAGGAGAACATCTTGACAAAATGAAAGGGAGTGGTTTTGAGCCTAATGCATATACATGGAATAGTATTTTAGCAGGCCTTATGGAAAATAAACACTATGATTCAGCAATGGAATTTTTCAATGAAATGCAGGTTTCAAATTTGAGTCCTGACATATACACAGCTGGAATAATCTTAGCAGCATGCTCCAAGTTGGCAACAATCCACCGAGGAAAACAAGTCCATGCATATTCCATTAGAGCAGGGTACGACTCCGATGTTCACATTGGAGCCGCCTTAGTAGACATGTATGCAAAATGCGGGAGTATTAAACACTGCCATGAAGTTTATAACAAGATATCAAACCCTAATTTGGTGTGCCACAATGCTATGCTCACCGCTTATGCCACACATGGACACGGCAAAGAAGGAATTGCTGTTTTCCGCAGAATGTTAGCTGACAAAGTTAGACCAGATCATGTGACTTTCCTATCACTCATTTCTTCATGTGTTCACGCGGGATCAATCGAGATTGGTTATGAATGCTTTAATTTGATGAAAAAATACAACATCACACCCACATTAAAGCATTATACCTGCATGATTGACCTCTTGAGTCGCGCAGGGGAACTCGCCAAAGCATATCAACTCATCAAAAACATGCCAATGGAAGCCGATTCAGTGACCTGGAGTGCTCTGCTTGGAGGTTGTTTCATTCACAAGGAAGTATCCTTGGGTGAAATTGCAGCCGAAAAGCTCATTGAAGTGGAGCGGGATAACACCGGAAACTATGTTATGTTAGCAAACTTGTATGCTTCTGCAGGAAGATGGCATGATCTTGCTAAAACTAGAGAGTTAATGAATGTTAAGGGAATGCAAAAGAGTCCAGGATGCAGTTGGATAGAAGATAGAGAAGGGATTCATGTTTTTCTTGCTAGTGATAAAAGTCACCCGAGAATAGAAGAAATATATTTTACACTAGATAATTTGACTAAGTCCATTAGAATAATAAAACACACAAATCAATTATAACATGACCAAAGACTTGTACAATATTAATAGGAGTTGTTCAGGAATGCCAAAAATAGTGTCACATTATCGAGGTTATTGTTTAGGAATCGAGACTAAAAATGGCTTATATATAGTACTCATATATCTTAATCTATCAAGATGATTTTTCGAATAAATCTGTGCTTAAAACGGACAATATTTCGTAACTGTACTGCTGCGGACTTGAGGTTGACATGGAACACGAGTAATTTGAAGTTTGGAAGAACATGTACATGTTTTCTGAAGATGAGTTTTATACATCAATTATTGAATAATACTATACAATACACCATTGACTCATTTATTTACATAACTTTCTCACATATCTCTAGAAACTAACTTATTAAATATTATAAACTACAAAAATTAAAATATAGTTTTATGAATAATTAAATGGATCTCGTTCACGGCCTGCAATTATTTTGAAATATTTATAACATGGCGTGTTTAGTCAATTTTGCCCCCTCTCAACTGAACAAATACCGTGTAAGTTCCGAAAAATGTAAAACAAAAAAACTGCATTTTTTAACGGAAAAAAAAAAACTAAAATGCTAGTAGTTTCTTCTAAGCGTAATCATCACGAACGTGAGATTTTCTAGTTTCTTTCTCCGATTTCCATTTCACTCCTTTCTCCCTCTTTTGTCAGAAATAACTTGGAAGGTGAATGAAACGAGAGTAATGGCAGCAAACAAAAGGGCATTGACGTAATTTCAGTTTCTTATCCGTGAGATGAGATGAACACATCTCTTACTTGAACACCAACACCGACACAACTGCCATTCTCTCTGTTGCCGCCGGTGCAAAGACCGGCCGCAAGGGAAGATTCTCGCTCATGACCGCCATGCAAACGAACTCCACTCCGGCGGTTGTCTTCACGGCCCTCGCCGGCGTCGCTATCGTCGCTGTCATTTTCTACGGTGCCAGTAGGTAATTAAATCTAGAAGAAGAGAAAAATTAGATTAGTAATGTTCGAAAAACCCTAACAACACTATTTCAATTTCAACTCAGTTTTTTTTTATTGCTTTCTATTTATTCGAGCTAGATCTCTCTATTTTTGTAGTTAAATCGGTTTATTCTTATTAATTGTTTTTAGAAAAGGAAAATAATGTGATTCATGTGAATGATGAAGTAGTGGTTAAGATATGGTGATAATAGAAAATGGATCTTCCTTTGGTGTTGGTGAAGATATTGTGATTTGAAGTTCTATTATGATCTTGATTGTTGGTTTTTCTTATTGTTCAGGTCCTTTAACTGTTTCCTTGCCACGAAATTACCTCTTACTAGGATTTTGTTTGTTGCTAGATGATGGTTTACTTGATGATGAACCGGATTGATATCCAAAATTATGTTGTTGCAGTGTTTTCTTTGTCAAAGAAAACACTGCAAGTAACAGATTTTTTTTGATATATTTTGAGCTTGAAAAGAAAGATCTGTGTTGGCATACCTTGTGAGCTTGTCTAATGTTTCTTTTGGACAGAATGGTTTTTTCTGTGCCTAATTAAATTTATTGCATGTAAAAAAACTGTGATGATCTATGCTATGGAACTGATGCATGCAATACTTATTTTAGTGGGGAGGAATTATTTATATTCTGGATTTTGCAAATAACTAAGAAATGCTGAGTTTTAGTATTGAACCTGTATTATTTTCCTCTTTATGTTAGCATCCTTATAATTGTTTTACTTGGAGAACATATGTTCCTTCCTCTCTTGCTAAATGTTACTTGATTATAGTAGTTAATAGCTCTGCAAATGTATCATATGTTGAGGTTAGTTTATTTTTTTGGGGGAAATACAGGGTTTGTCCTTAGGGTGTGAAGTTTTGCCACATGTAATTATCAGAACACTTATCTTAAAGGAGTTAGTTAGATAAATTGAAGCAGATAGCTCTAACACACGAAATTACTGTTTCATCACTAAGAAATTTAGATAGTTCTTTATGAAGTGTCTTGCTCAAAGATCACAAACACTAACGAAATAACATGTATGAAATATATGACAAGACTTTTTCAATGGAGGATGGCCATAATAGGCTTGAAAAAGTAAAAAAATAGGTCTTTGTATCACACAAGAAAACAACTTAACAAAGTGCTTTTATTTACTCTTACTAAGTGGTAGTACTTAGTAACCAGTATTTCTCATGTTTTAATTGCTCAGCTTAAATCACCATGATCATGCAGGAAAAGAAAACATGCCCTTTCACCTCAGCAATGGAAAGTCTTCTTTACAGAAGATGGTAGACTTCGTGATGGTGGAATTAGGCTCCTGAAAAGAGTGCGCAGTGGAGTGAGTTTACCAATTCATTCACCTGTATTTTAAAATTGTGTATGTTTCGTTTCTTTTTGAAATTTAGTGCCTTATAAATATCTGATGCAGGGTGTTGGTCCTAGAATAAGAGCTGAAGTCTGGCCATTCTTACTTGGAGTGTAAGCATGCCATTCTTTTTATTTCATTTCTAGATAATCATCACTCTTGCATAATTACAATGAATCTTATCTTAGTTATCTTTAAGTTAACATACAACCTTAGTGTTTTCGTCCATCTTATGCATTAGGAAGGTTAAGGACTATCTTGTTCTTTCTTTATTTTTTATTATTACTGTTTGTGTTGTAACTTTTTCTTTTATACAGTTATTGATTACCCTTTTATGACTTAGACAGGTATAACTTTAACAGCACAAAGGATGAAAGAGATGCTGTGAGAACTCAAAATAGGTTGATATACAAGTTTCATTCTCAATTTTTTTATACATCTTTGTGCATGATCAGTACTTCAAATCTATATTCTGTTTACGTTTCTTTTGTTTTGTTTATGATGAGAGGGAGTGGGTGATAACATCTGGTTGATTTTGTGGCAAATCTTTAAATGCAGAAAGGAATATGAAAAACTCCGTCGACAATGCAGGAAACTCATAAAAAAAAGCAATGAAAGCAGTAAGTTAAATGAAGTTGGTGAAATTAGCTATGAAGGAGGTGATGGAAGTCTTGTTCAAGATTCTGGTTCTGATGATGCAGCCAGCGCCAATGAGTTCCTTTCTAGTCAGGACAGGAGTCCAGAAGCTGAATCTTCAGATTATCCATCCATTGTCTCATTGGAAGGAGATGATTATGTTAATGTCAGCAATGCTGATGCATCTTTACTGGATACGGATTTTATCGAATCTCCTGAAGTAATTCAAACAGTTCCCTCTGATGATGATCAAGAAGATAACAACCCCATGAAAACTAACAAGGATTCTGCTGAAGGTCTTGAGGTAATTCAAACAGCTCCTCCTGAAGATGTTCAGGAAGACAATAACCCCATGAAAACTACCAAGGATTCTGCTGAAGGTCCTGAAGTAATTCAAGCAGCTCCTCCTGATGATGTTCGGGAAGACACCAACCCCGTGAAAATTACCAAGGATTCCGCTGAAGGTCCTGAAGTAATTCAAACAGCTCCTCCTGATGATGTTCAGGAAGATGACAGCCCTGTGAAAACTGCCAAGGAACCCTTGCAAGAAAAAGTTCCATCAAAGCCACCAACTAATGAAGACTTCTCCACCTGGCAACGGATTATCCGACTTGATGCATTACGCGCTAATGCAGACTGGATGTCACACTATCCCTCTCAAGCGGCCGTATCAGACAGTGTGGCACGTCGTACTGCTGAGGCTGTTGGCTTGGAGGATTATGGCCACCTAGAGGCAGGCAGGATCTTCCATGCTGCCCGACTAGTTGCTATTCTTGAAGCATATGCACTATATGACCCTGAAATTGGCTACTGCCAAGGTATGAGTGACCTGCTATCTCCTATAGTTAGTATTATATCAGAGGATCACGAGGCTTTTTGGTGTTTCGTCGGATTCATGAAGAAGGCACGGCAAAATTTTAGGCTTGATGAGGTGGGTATACGGAGGCAACTAGAGTTAGTTGCCAAAATAATAAAGTATAAAGATGCCCATCTATTTAAGCATTTGGAGAAGCTTCAGGCTGAAGATTGCTTCTTTGTGTATAGAATGGTGGTGGTACTGTTTCGAAGGGAATTGACATTTGAACAGACTATTTGCCTTTGGGAAGTAATGTGGGCAGATCAAGCTGCAGTTAGGGCAGGTATTGGGATTTCTGCATGGAACAAAGTCAGAAAGCGAGCACCGCCAACAGAAGATCTGTTACTTTACGCAATAGCAGCTTCGGTATTACAGAGGAGGAAATTGATAATTGAAAAGTATAGCAGCATGGATGAGATCATTAGGGAATGCAATAGCATGTCAGGACAGCTTGATGTTTTGAAATTGCTAGATGATGCACATAACTTAGTGATCACCCTTCATGATAAAATATAGACACGATTCTGATAAAATAAACAGGACTCTCTGGTGGAGCAGGTTTGCAAAGAGAAGGCGGTGGCATGTAATTGTTAGAAAATGTTGAGTTCTTATCTACAACTAGGAATGTTTTTCCCCCTTCTCTAAAACAGTGTATTTTCCTGTTTAGCTCTGCTAATTTTTATGTCATTCGTTGTCCTTTTGAATCAGCCATCGCCTAACTAGAATGCTAGTTTCTATAAGGGTAGCTGAAGATACGAATTTCTAAAAGCTAGTTTATCATTTTGTTTTATGACAAGAGCTATGTTATTAGTTTGTGTACAAAACACAAGCATTTACACATCGTAGTTTTGCTATGGAGAGTCAGTTTTATGTGTCTGCTGTATTTGATAGAAATGGGTTTTATGGTCAATTAGATGCGTTCACATTTTATTGGCTAATAAAGAAGAATTAGATGCGTTCATATATATATATATATAGAGGGTCATGCTAACCTGTGCTCACATGTTAATGATACTATAATTAGAAAAAATTAAATATAATAATATTATATTTAAACTTTCAAAACATTAAATTCATGCATTCTGAAACTTGTGCACACATGTTAGTTTTTTCTATATATTTATAATCTGGTCAAAAATTCATTTCAGTTTGACTTGACAAAGAGATTAAAGATTTAAAATGACATTTAATTATTATAATTAGATTTTGTAATGGTCAATTGTTTATTGATGAAAGCGATGTAGCGGCAAACAATAAAAGTTTTAAAAATATTTATTCAGAAATTTATCGTGTCTATAAAGATTGATGAATTGAAATGCCGTTCGACAAATCTCTTGTTAATGAGTTTGAATTGAATTGGTAAAACATAAAACATAAAAGTAAATATGAACAGGAAAGAATTCATATTCTAGAGAGAAGAAATTTATCAAGCATGCATATAATCTGCTTTTTCATAAATTTAAACTTACCGATCAATTACACTCAACCTACAATACTCCTCAGAGTCATCTAGCAGCGCTCACTCTTTAAGTTATTTCTAATCCAAAGTAGAGAGAACTACTATATCATTTCAACGACGATCTCCCAGTCAACCTCAACAACACAACAGACATCCATATTACTCGTATCGACGATCTCTCAACGGACACAACCAACACGGAAGCATTATGCTCTGACATCCATAAAGATTGTTTGCTCTAAATCTATCTCTAGAATTCAAAAACTAACAGATAATCATCCTAGATAAAGATTTGATCAGTATATATCTATAACAATCCAAACCCCGAGCACAGAGCAAAAGTCTAAGATAACAATCGATACTGATTCGTAAAACAAATTAAATATAAAGTCATGGGCGATAAATATACATGAGTTCAAAGTAAAATCATATACAAAATTCAATCAAAGAGAAATACACAAAGAGGAAGAGAAATAAACCAAAAATCTTCCGGTTTGTCAGCGTCGGTTGATGATCAATCCATTCTGGATCATCCGTATGCAAGCTCCGAAGTTGTTTTCTAAGCTCTCTCTACCAAAAAATGAAGGTTTGATGGATTGTGACCAAAAATACCTAAAACTTACTCAAAAAATGTGTTTTTACCCCTAAATATGTATTTCTAACTGTCCTGTATCGCCCGACGACCAAAAAGCGTCGCCCGATGACCAAAACTGCATTTTTCCACGCTTCAGGTCGTTTCAGAATCGCCCAGCGACAAATGATAGAAAGTTGAAAAACCAACACAGATTCAGTCATAAGTTTTGAATCGTAACTCTGATTCGCGCATGGTCAGAAGCGTTGGAAAGTTTATTCAATGCTCTATCTAACAATATCTAAATATCAATGCTTGAATGCCTATAAAAATGAGATAAAATCAATTAAATTCAATGATATTTACACAATAACGCAATAAATACACTATAATGTAAACTATACCGGATATACACTAAAGTTGAGGTTTATTGACAAAAACCAAACGAATTAAGCTGATGAGTGTTAATTATTCACACTCAAATTCACAATAATTTAACACTCATCAAACTCTCCCCAACTTAAAACATTGTTTGTCCTCAAACAAAGTCAAATAAACTTAAAGAAGCAAAAGACGATAATCAAAGAATCACGAATCAATAGGTTTTGAAAACAGAAAACAAATGCAATTATTCAAATGGAAAATAGCACACACAAAGTAAACACTTACCACGAAACTACGACTATAACATAAACACGAAACAAATTCTAAATACAAAAATTATGCCAAACATTCTAAAAAAATACTAGTTCACAAATGAATCACACCTAGCAAATACAATCATCAGTGAATGTAAAACACACAAAAATGGGGTATTTTTATTCATCCAATAATCTTGCAAACAATAGACTAAATCATGTATTCATCCAAAAATTTGCATTGAAAATATAAAAGCAAGAATCTCAAGGGCTTTTCAAGGTTGTAATGTGGTTTGGTTAACAAACAAGTGATAGGTCCTGAAGCTAATCGAAACAAAAATTCGCCTAAATCTAAGGGAGTAATTACTTCCATAAAGTTTCAAACAATAGAATTTGAATCAAACTTCACCCCAAATTTCAAACCAACACACATCACTTATTCAACACAACATTATTCCATACTCTTTTTGTTTTTCTTTTTCAAAACTTTTCTATTTTTTCCTTCTTTTTTTTTTCATTTCTTTTCTCATTTTTTTTCTTTTTCTTTTCAACCTCATAGCAGTAAATCAATAAATACACAATCATTTTTATCTCCAACTTGAATTCAACCATACATTAAAGTGAATACTCCCTACTTTCTAAGACAAGGTAAAAATTGAAACCAAAACAATGGTTGAGGGTTCAAGAAAACAACGAATCAACATCCATGCAAAAAGGGAAACTAACCATTCATAGACAAACATTTAGAAAATACAACATGGATATCGACAAAAATCTCAAAGGGGTTACTAATGATCATACACTCACAAGGTGAATTGACTTATTTGGCCAAGGTAGTTGTGCTCAAAATGAAACAAAAAATATCTTGATCATGTTCAAGCTTTCATACAATCAACACAAAAAAGATTAAGCATAATAAAATCCAGTTAAAATAAGAATTGTGATCTCTAAAATATGTGAACAATGGAAAGCTACCTCACAAAAAGGACAAAAACTAAATTGATTCACAAATGAACAAGTATACAAAAGAATGAATGACATAAAATTATAAAAAAGTCTAAGTATCATGATTATGCTAAAGTCTAGAAAGCGATAAACACATACCTCAAACGTGTACAAAACTTTAACAAAATCATTATCACACATTCTCAAGTCAAAACAATCAAACTTGACAAATCACCTCAATATTCTACAAGTTACCGGACCAAAACTTGAGTGCAAACAACAACAAAAGAATTAGAAAAATAATATTCCTGTAAAATTTTAATATACAAAATTTACAATATATACAACGAACAAAACTCCTCAAGCTAAAAACGACAAGCTTTCGGAAAACACAAATTGACATAACAAAACAAATACAATTAACGATATAAAAACCGGGTGAAAATGAATTAACAAGTTGAAAAATGAAGATTTGAAATTCAGAACATTTCCTTGTTTCAACTTGTTAAAGCACAAATCACCACACACATAAACAAATACAAACAAACATGCTTGTTTTACGTTGTAAGCTCGACGTCTTTATTGTACGAGCTAGTAACCTCCTCTCATCATGATATAGTATTATCACACCGCGCAAACCTAAAGAAAGTGTCCTAACAATCACACAACAAATGTTACGAAAACGAGACAATTCACAACAATACATGAAAACACATATATGCACAAATATCATATATAAGTTAATGTACAATTTCTATACAACATATACATTAATTACAAAACTCAAAAACAAAATAATTATCACAATGCGAAGACAATAGAATCAATCCCCGACAACAGCGTCATTTTGTTGGAAGCGGTGTAGAGCGGTAAGCAAAAAGTAAGTTATTAATTTACCAGGTGATATAGGTTATATCGTATCGTGTCCACAGAGATTGGTTATTGAATTTCCGTTCGACAAATCTCTCGTTAATGAGTTTGGGGATAAATTAGTTTGTAAAGAAAATGTTATCAACAGTCGAGTAAAGCTTTTTATAACATAATTTGGATATTGTGAAGAATTGAAGATGTGATTTATGTTTTCGGATAGTCGAGTAAAAATTTTAAACATATATAGATGTAATTCATAATAGTATTGCTATCTTTACTTTGGAGTTTGATCACTGGCATTGGTGTCTTGGGGAGAAGGATGTCTATTTTGTTGCTTAAGGTGTCCTTTTTAAGCCGAATTAAGTTACTGATATGGTTTCTATTAGTTTGGATCGCATTATGATGGTCATTTGGTGTAATTAGACTCTTTCAAAAGTGATAGTCTTCTCTTAATAAATCTTTCAAGATAAGTTTCCATCTAAAAGATTTTTTTTGAAAGATGAATTATCCTTGACTCGGCTAGTGTTTCTTGTGGGTTGTGTGATGGCTTTGTAGTGTTTGTTCTCATTTGTTTATTATTTTTGGAGTGGTGAATAGGGTTTTTCGGTGACTTTAAATGTTAGTTATCTTGTTGGGTGATATTATCTCGCTCTTTAAAGTTTCTCCCTCCTTAAGGGGCGTGACTAAGATTTGGAGGGTTATTAATAAGTGGTATTTATAATGCTTACTGTGTCTTTAGCATTATTATTTTTCTTTCTTTTCTTGTTTTATTTTGTTTTTATGCGCTTTTGACGAGTTCCTACTGTTTCTAGATAATAAGGGAATGTCAGACTGAACTAAAGCGGAAAAAAAACCAAGAATCATGCAAAAAGGAAGTCTTTCTATACACAAAGCTTGAGGCCAACACGAATGGGCCGTGTCAGCTGAGAGGGGTCATGTTGGTTGGAAGCATTTCGCCCATATATCAGGATCGAGAACAACACAGGCTAACCGTGTTCCCTGACACAGGCCGTGTTTTTCACAGACTTCCCCC